TTATTTGCCATAGGCATTTGTACTAAGGTCTAATGCCAAGTTCAATATTGCTTTCGGCTCTATTTTTCTATCCTTATTTTCACATTTTCCTTATAAATTAGACCACAATCAAATTTAAGAACATGAAAAAATCTGTCAAGATGCATCTCTCTCTCTCTCTCTTTTTTTTTTTTTTAAATAGATACTATAAGACTATGGAAAGCAAAACAAATAATTATAGATCCACAGACTTTCATAAGAGAAATTACATTAGATAGCTATAAATAAAAAATGGGGTATTTCAACCATTCTAATGTATTTATTTACACACAGATTACAGGTAATCTACACTATTATATCTCAAAATGTGTTTCCTGAAATATTCGTTTATTACACACACACACACACACACACACACACACACACAATACTAGTAGTGCAAATAAATTTGGCAATAATACATGTCAGCTTTTTGTTAGTCACAATATGCATCAGTGTACTGAACACTGAAAAGTTATGCTGTAAGTCATAACCTATTGTACTCTACTAATCACAGCCTATTGTATTCAAAATTATTACAAATGGTAATTCCTTTCTACGTATCCTCAAAACTTGCATTTGAGAAACGCTCATCTGTATATTCTGCTAACAAGTTAGGATTTTCCATCCCTAGGAATAAAATTTATTTTTCACCACTGTAACTGTGCTATGAAGAAATGGTTATGCCCATGTAGTTACTATATAGTGGAATAAAACGTCATTAAAATTCAGTATCAGTAAGAATTGGGAATAAACTGAAGTCCTTTCTATAAACACAGAACTCTTATGAATTTCCTCTTTATATTTTAGCTGGCTCAACAGCAAAAAGAACATATATTAAAAATGCATATTTATTTTCATTTAAGACATTGACTTAAAATAATTCTTGTAATAGATTTTGCCCAAGGTTAATCTAGTAAAATGCATAGAATTGTAGGCATGTGGGTCTTTTTGTACGCATACAGGAAATATATGCTCACATGGTAAAAAAAAAAAAAAAAATTTAACCTGACCCTAATGAGGATTTTTTTTTTAAAAAACATGTTTACAGGAATAAAAATAAATCTGTAACATGTTAAAGTTAGACCATGTTCACCACTAGTTTTTCAGACTCTAAATCTAAAAATGTATCAAGAAAAATATTCCATATAAAAAGGAGGAAAAGAAATATAGCTTTCAGTTGGTTATTAAAATATTGCTAGTGGAACAGAATTGACACACGCAATTTGTACATGCAGGGGAAATACAACTTAATGTACACAGATAGGTCTCAGCACATTCCTTTACTAGAATGTGGTCATCTGCCACAAAGTCCACAAGCTCATGCACAAGATCAAGACGTTACATACAGCTGAGATCACAATGTCATGCATATAACAACAGCGTGCTAGATAATCGTACCACAAATTATGCAGATGTTCTCCCCCACCCCATAAGCCACTGCCAGCAGCTGCTGTGGAGTTTGGTTACCCACATCCGTGACATGAACGGTGTCCTTTGGAGAATCTTGTTCCCTGTGGCTGTAAGTATTCTTATTTTTATAATATTCTAATGATGGTATTAAAATGTTAAGTACAAAACCAGAAATTATGAAAAATAGACTTGTTATAATATTAAACAATTGTAGACATCTTATCTTAGGCACCTGCAATATATTTACTACTTACATTTGAACATATTACTGAAGGTAAATTGTTTAGAGCTAAATGAACCCCAAATAATATGTCTGATGACAGTGCTCTAGTGAATGTGGATGGGAGAGTAGGGAATCAATCCATTCAAAGTCATCTGAATTGCTGTACGGTTCTGAAGTAATGAGAGACTAGCTCTGGCTGTTCACAATACAGAACATCATGATTTTCAGTATTCGAATGAAAAAGGTTTGTACAACTTGACATGCATTTGCATGCACAAAATAAGTGATTTGTCCACCTTAAAAAAAGTACTCTGATTTCTAGCACTCAAAAACCTTGGCAAAGAGTCTTCTCATGACCTTTTAAGTTATCTATACGACTCATATAGTTAAATTCTATACAAGAACATGGAGATAACTGTTTTAGGTACATGATTTAAATTCTGGAGACTTGACTTAGACAAGTAATCAAATTGATATTAATAATATTAGTGATGACAGTACAGAATACAGTCATTAAAATACTTCTACTTCCCTGAGCATATTAAATGTATTCTGGTGTCCTTTATTGCCTATTTGTATCCTAAGTACATTCTGGTAAAGATGGAATTGTATTTTGCTATTAGGCAATATTTTAAAAATATTGATAATTATAAAAGCATAGAATTTAAATTCTGGAACCACAAGACACTGAGTGGTTCAACTCTATGCTTCTTCGAAACTCTCTTTGGCTTCAGAAATGCGAATTCAGCACTTCTGGAATGTTCCATAATGCCTTTAAGCTAGACCAGGGAGTGAAAAAAAAGAAAATACAGCCAACTCTCAAAAATAATGGAAGGTAGGATGGGGAAGTAAAATCTAATGATCTAAAAATTGTATTTTAATTAATAATTTCAGTCCCCTCCCTTAATAAACATTAGATTCAAAAAAATTTTAAGATTCTGTCAGATTAAAAAAAAAACCTTGGAATTTGCCTCTTTTCTCTGCTTCCCCTTTAAAAGCTCTAGAGGAATTACTAACAAGAACTCTTATCATCTCATAAATGTAGTTGAAAAAATAGAAATATTTTTACATCTAGTTTTTCTAATTTAGGTATTTAAAACTACCCACATTCCAGCATATGGGGGCCTATATACTTTTTTCATCTTTGCATAAAAAGATGGCTTTATATATTTTTAAAAAATAGTACTCTTTTACCAAGGAATGACTTCTTACCATAATCAATATAAGTAATGAAATTCAATTTTTCTGACTTTGTAAATCTACAAATTATTACTTACCAAATTACATTTTCCTTACAAGATAACATTTACAAATCATATGAATTAAACAAAAGTTTTACTGATGATCAGTATAACTGTGATGGGAGCAGTACTGGGCATAATAACAATTGGATTTACAGCAGCTGCCTCTCCTGATTCTTACCTATACTACAGGAAAATACCAGAATATTCTTTCTCGGTTCTTCTACACTAATCATCATTCTTATTACAAAGTTCACCATATCAACTGTTTTAATCAACAACAAGTAATACTTAATTCCAATAAAGAATTCAGAATAAGTAATAAAATCTCCAAAGCCGAGTGATTCTCTGAAAACGTAACCATAGCAGAATCTCTTGAGCAGGTATGGAACAGTGAATGATCAAAGAGATGACATATTATGCTGTTATGTTTACAAGGAAGATAACTTAGATTTGACCCAAAATAAAGTAAACACAAGTGCATTTCATAATAGAAGATATCATACAAATTACAATAAAGGGATAAATAATAAAACTTAATTTATCCATTCATTTGCCTTTCTAAAGAATGATCATTAGAAAAGTAATATTAGTAATCTCAGTATGAGAGAGGCTGAGGCAGGAGGATCTCTGCAAATTTGAGGTCATCCTTGGCTACACAGTTAAGTTCAAGGTCAGCATGAACTACAAAGCAAGACACTGTCTCAAAAAAAAAGTATAATTTAGACTTTAACTTCTAAAATATTTATTTTTCTTTAAGCAGTGGTGAGGGAAAGAGAACAAATGCATGAATTTGAATATTACAACAGTCCTGATAAACTATGCACTTTGTTACACTGGTGAGGATAAAAATGAAAAGATGTGTTTGTCACAATAAACCTCTGCAGTGGGGTTTTATTTGATTTTTTAAATATATGTATAAGTAAAATTTAACAAACAAAAAACCCTATGTGACATATGAAAAATCTACTTTTTTTGTCTTTTTGAGGCAGGGTCTCGCTGTGCAGGTCAGGCTAGCCGGGAGCTCACTTTGCAGCCCAGGCTGGTCTCGAACTCACAACGATCCTCCTGTCTCAGCCTCCCGAGTGCTGGGATTATAGGCATGCGCCACCATGCCCAGCGAAAAATATATTGTAAAACATGCTATTACAGGTATTACATACATATTGCATAATTTTAAAATCAGTATTTCTGTTTAAAATGAAGACTAAAATATTTTACATGAGGGGAATATTTCCTTAAGTATAAGAAAAATTCAAATAATTTTAGAAAATATTTAGCTTGATGATTTAAACAGTCTTTTAGTTTTTTCTCCTTTCTAGGGGCTTTGGAGATTGCAGTCAGGGCCTCACACAGGCTAGGCAACACTGCACCTCTAAGCTACAGCTCAGCCCTAAACAGTCCTCTGTAACAACAACGCACTCGAATAGTAGTGCTGAGTGTTGCTCCACTTCGATTTCAAAGAGTAGGTCTAGTAGATACTCCAACATTTTTGAAAACCCGAACTTTTCTAGGATATATTAAAATGAGACTAGGAAAAAAATTCAGTGAAACAATTTTGTTCACATTTTGACCATTCATACACATTAAGAAATAAATAATACAAAATTACTCAATCCTAACAGAATCTATATGCAGTTTTCATATCAACAAAAAATATGTTGTTAAGGCATCATTTAAAGATAACACTTTGATGTTGAACACTAGAAAAATACTGTGATTATATCTGATAAAAGTTGTAAGTACATCCCTACTAAACAGAAACAGTAAATAGGAGGAAAGTGCTAGACAAAATTTGCGAAGATATTCTGTGCTCTCATTAAGAAATCTCATGTTTTCCACTAACATCCACGTCAATCAGAACAGAAGAGGACTGCATATCTGTCATGCATGCTGCCATACAAAGTGAGCAGATAGACTGAACTAGGACATGATAAAATGGAAAAATGACTACGTCATGAGCAGTAACTGAAAATACTGGGCCTCTCAGTGATCGAAAAGGCGTGTTCTGTGACTTGTTATTTTACCTGCAAGCTTATTATGTTAGATGCAGCAAGACAGTAATAAGAGTTCACCTGATACAAATGTGTACATTCATCACCTACCTCATCTGGGTTGGCATTAAAGGTAAGGCTACCTTCGTCCAGCTGCATATACAATTTTCTAAAAGAAAATCCTAGAGGTGGATTCTTATTGTATATGGAACAGTGACCCCAAGTGGATTTGCACAACCTATGAAAAGAAGAGAAAATGAGATAAAAAGTTACTGTATTTAATTTCCTAAATTAAATGTGCATGCAGAGGATAACATAAATAACATAGAATTAGATTTTATAAATCTAAAATTCAAAGATTATAATTTTGTACATGTGTTCTGCTTATAAGTATATAATAAAGGCCTTCAATTTAACAATTTTGGTAAGACCTACATATTTGAGTTACAAAGGTAATATTCCTGAATCTTACCTGAGGTTAAACACAAATCACCAATAATAATGGTAATTACAGCTGATAATTACTGGTACTCACTTAAAATTTTAATTTTAATTGTATTAACTTGCTCAGTATTCTCCAGAATTCTCTAATGCTGGTGCAACAGACAGGACAAACAGAGACAAAGAAGTTTCCCCCAGTCATACAGTGGATACAGACAGAGGCAGCGTTTGACCCCAAGGAGTCTTCCTCCAGACTTTGCAGTTTTGATCAAGAAACTAAACGGCATCTATCACGTAACCTGTGTCCTGTTGTGGAAGACAGCTAAAGGGGGAGGGAGAAAGAATGCTGGGCAGGGGAGCAACCTTATGTTTTTTAATAACATACAGTTTATTACCAGACAAATTAGACACAGAATTTGTAATGCTTAAGTTCAACACATACATCAAAAGCTGCACTGTTAAGTGTAGCTGATTTTAAGATACGGCTTCAAAAATACTGGTTCTTTACTACTACACTATCACACTAATAAGTGACTTTTAAAAAATTCTGTAAAACCTACAATACTGTTCGTATCTCAAAATACACTATTTTCTGAAGATTAGGATAATGGTTTCCAACTCTGTTGCACCAAGCAATACTTATTACTTCTGTACTGAAAGCAAAACTTTCATTGTATTACAGTGCCTGGATGTATACCACAAATACTTCAGTGTAAATGCATCTGCTCCAGAGACAGACAGTACTGAAAGTATATTCTGCTACATTTTCACAATTTTATTATATTTTTCATAAATTTTTGCCTCAAAATTATGTGAATTTTTATAGTTTTTCAAAACACCAGCTACTTGTTGAGATAAAAAATAGTTTTTCCCTCTAATATTGGTTTTTACCCTCAAATTTCCTTATTTTCATAAATAGAGAACAGGAAAACCGGAAAAAAGTATTGTCCCATTAAATAACATCAAAAATTGTGGGGATCAATGGATAAAACATCTAATTTGAGACTATCCTCTTAATAGTTAATTTACACAACTACATTACTTTTATTAACCAAATCACTACTCTATAACTGTAACTAAGCTATTTAGAAAATTGTCAATAGTTAGTGGTCTCTTTATTATCAACGGTTTTGAGTTTCATGATTATGCTCTGTGCTAGCAACGCCCTCCCAACATCAGTAAATATTCAGCACATTCAAAGTTAACACGAAAATCAGCTGGCGCTTTTTTTTTTTTTTTCAAATAGAAGCAATTTAACATTAAAATAATCCAAGTGTCAAGAGTATAGGCATGATTATATAGCTAACTATAAGGAAAGCATTTTCTTCCCTAGAGATAAACAATCCACACTTAAACTCCAAATGAAAAATACATAATGACTGAGTTCACATAAGCTTAGAAATGGCGTTTTAAAAAAAAAATTCAAATATAGGAGCACAAATTAACTTGTAGGGATTACTAAAATGCAGGAAAGAAATTATAAACATTGAGCCAGTTTTAAAGTATTTTAACTTCCTTTTATACTGAAATCAATAAAAAATCAGTAGCTTATTTAAATGCTACTAATTAATGTAATTTCCTCTTATTAACACAGCACCTTCACTATAACAAGGCATTGAAAGAAACACAAGGAGATGAATTCCATGTATTTGAAAGTTGATAAATTACTTACATAATTTTACATTATAATTCTGTGCCAATAGGAAGTCTATGTTAGACAAGTTACTACTAAATGGTTGGTAATTTAGGTTATTTAATTCTTTCAATTATATTTCCAGTTAGAAATCACTCAGTCTTAAAATGGCTTTTGTTTTGTAGATGCGTTCTTTACCATTATTCTTTTTAATTTTTAAGTTTTTCTTAGTACATGTTCACAGTATGTCATGAACAATTACACTCATTGTGAGGGGCTGGGATATAACACATCTTAATTCTTTTCATGCTTCCCCACCGCGGCATTGTTTATCACATGAAGTCCCATGTTAAAACAAAGAGACTTCAATAGATTTCTGTAAAGAATACTAGAAAATTTAATATACAATAATCCTCCTATGTTTGGTAACATTTTTAAGATTCAAAGGAAAAAATATGCACCTATGAATTTTTTTCTGAATATGTGATGCTATTTAAGGAGTGATTTACATTCAACAAAATGTTTCTGTTCCATCCAATGTTTTTAAATTCAAAAACTGGTTTATTATTTGCTACAATTTAATAGTTAATTTACACAACTACATTACTTTTATTAAGCAAATCAAGTTATTACTCTATAACTGTAAGTATGCTATTTAGAAAATTGTCAATAGTTAGTGGTCTCTTTATTATCAAAGTTCTTGAGTTTCATAATTATGCTCTGTGATAGCAACGCCCTCCCAACATCAGTAAATATTTTAGCACATTCAAAGTTAACATGAAAATCAGCTGGCCTTTTTTTTTTTTCAAATAGAAGCAATTTAACATTAAAATAATCCAAGTGTCATGAGTATAGGCATGATTATATAGCTAACTATAAGGAAAGCATTTTCTTCCCTAGAGATAAACAATCCACACTTAAACTCCAAATGAAAAATACATAATGACCATTGGTTTTTAAACCATTTAAAAACACTGGTTTAAACTGGTTTAATATTTGCTAAAATTTCTATAATTTAAGTTTAGCAAGTAGACATTTATACCCTTGCTTTCTAATATCTGTCTACTTCATTAATGTGGTCAGAAAACAATAAAAAGTAGATGAAGTTTTCACCAGCTAAACTTCATGCTAGCACCTCTGTTAAAAAGACTAACACAAGCAAACACACACACACACACACACACACACACACACACACTCCCTTTGAAACCCATGGAAACAAACATATTTGAGGATGATTTACTGATGTTTAAGTATGCCTATGCCTCAGATGGAATATTTAAGGGAATACAGGCATGCAGTACAAATTTTATCATGGATGTAAAGATTCTAAGTTTTGGATCACAAATTCTTACTTCAAAACTTTGATTTTTAAAATAAGCTGGAAATTTCTGACTACAATAAACCAATATACCCTGATTAGCAATCTCTCTTCTCACTATAAGGAAGATTTCCTTTTTGTTTCTTTCCTACTTTCTCTTCCCAGGATCAAATTGGTCAGTAATAACTGCAGCTTTATTTTTGCAGGCCTTAATTAACAGCAACTCAGATTGTAAGCCCAAATTGAAAAGAAACTATTTCATAATATATACATGTGACAAAAAGAACACTAAGCATTAACATGCTCAGAGTGGTATGAATCATACCGCGGGTTTGACTTACCCTTGCCAGAGAAGCTCATCATTAGCAAGGTCCTGCCAGACACAGGAAGCCAAGCAGAGGTCAGTTGCATTCAGGTAGGACAAGATGGTAAAGCTCAGTTCAGGAGGCAACATTTCCAAATTAATGAATCCTTCTTGTTCTTTAGACTTCCTTGCCTTCAGAAGATGGTAGATGTCAATGCCTCCTTGGACTTGCTTGCGATGGCTGCTGGTAGGAATGTGGCTTGCAGCCATTCTTCTGCTCTGCTCTCTGGTGAGGTAGCCTTGCTCACTGTAGCCCTCCTGCTGTAGCTGCTGGTTTCTGGCCACTCTCCACAGCCCTTGACCCATCTGCAAGCCTGGGAGAGAGCCAGGATGGAATAAGGGCGACATTGCAAAAGCAAACCATCTTTCCCAGTGGGATAACAGATCTAACAGAAAGCATTCATTGATCAGAATTTAAATTCTTCACTAGAACCTAGTAAAACTAATAGTGTATTACAAAGAATAGGTGGAATCCTTTAAGTAGAAAATTTGGATGGAAAAATGTTTCAGCGATAGTTGGTCTCTGATCATTGCCTTTATCCCAGCTTGCTAACTACTTTTAAAGTCCATAGGTGACACAATCATTTTTTCACATGGTAAGATTTAGAAGTTACTGATATCCTAACGAGTCATACAAATTATAGTTTTGTAGACTTATGGGCCAGTATTAAGTACCTCTCTGATCAGCGCACAGGAGTTTAGTTAAAAGGTCTCCAGACCCTGGTTTTTATCACAATTCAGGCTAAGCTAAGCTAGACCCTTTTAACCAAACTCCCAGATGTGTAGCAGCTGTGAAACAGGCTTTTAGTTTAATTCTTGCCAGTCTACATTTATGTTGTAGACTGTAATAAAATGTAACATAGGCCCTGAAGTCTAATTCAGAAACCTTATAAATTAGACACCTAGAACTCCATGATAAATAGCTCGGTAATAGCTAACTATTTGATTTTCTTGTTGCTTTAAAGTAAAAATTGTAATTTGCACTAATTTTCCAATCTTCCCCACATAGCCACATGGATGGTGTCCCCTGAGATACTCAGGAAAAGGGGCAAGAAGGTGCCACGGTCTCCCCCACTTCGTGTGACCTGCCCCAGAGCAGTTCGCCACTTACCTGTTACCTACATTGGACTTCTCCAAATACAGATATTTAGAAAACAACTGGCCCAGACTAATTTGACCCTGCCTTTAAAATATGTAGTTTTTATTGAGGCAATAAATTCAGTGAGAAAAAGTAAAGTAGAAAGAGTTTTTAACTAATAGAAATTATTTTCATTATCTCCTTTCAAACAAAATATTTGTTTTATTAACCCAAGTTGACTTTACTAATACATGTGTGGGTTTCAAAATGTGGAAAAGTACTGATTTAACATAAAATCATTAAAACAGTCAAATAACTGAGCATGATATGAACTTCAAAAGAAAAATATCAGAAGCTGAAACAAACAAAAAACAACCAAACAAAAGAACAACACCAGTGATCAGTAATTTTGAAAATTCTTAGGAAAAAGTTGAAAATTGAAAACTTCAAAGAATACTAAAGGTATTATTTTCTTCATATGTAAAAAGGAATGAATCACATGTGTATTTACAAAATTGTTGGCTACTATCTAGATAATGTCTACTGTACTGGTTATAGTATAATTACTATAAGTATTATATATACTAAATATTAGCATATTAGCTAATTAGTATATATTAATACTATCCAGGCAAAAACAGTTCAGGATATTCTTTTAACTTCTCATCCTTATGCTGAACTACTTGAAAATACAAGAGCTTAAGCTATAAAGGGTATATATGAGGGGTTACAATGATTTTAAAGCATATTAAAGTATATAGTATATTTAAAGTATATTAGTATATACCTTAAAAGATCTCAGTAGAGTCTAAAAATACTCCTATGCCATGGGTATACAATAAATTTTGATTGTTCTTTTTACTATGTAAAGAAATATCCCAACAGACACCTCATCAAAAATATATAAAAATAGCAAGCATATCAAAACAGGCTGGACATCACACGTCATAACAGAACTGCAAGTTAAAACAATGAGATACTACTGCACACCTATGAGTATGGTATATTCAACATACTGACAATACAAAATGCTGTGGAATGTAAAACAATATACGATTTTGAAGACAGTTTTTAGTTTCTCACAAAGTTAAACATACTTTTACCATATGATCCAGGATTCACACTTCTTGACATTTACCTAAATAAGCTGAAAAATAGCCAGAGATGGTGGTACTCGCTTGTAATCCTGGCACTCTGGGAGGCTGAGGTAGGATGACTGCAATTTCAAGCTCACTCAGGGCAATTCAGTAATATAGCAAGACTGTCTTAAAATAAAAGTGAAAACAAAACTTTTAAAGGGCATGGGGTAGCTGGGCATGGCGGCGCACACCTGTAATCCCAGCACTCAGGAGGCTGAGGCAGGAGGATCATTGCGAATTTGAGACCAACCTGGGCTACACAGAGAGCTCAAGGCCAGTCTGAAGTGCATAGTGAGCCCCTGTCTCAGAAAAAAAAAAAAAAAAAAGGAATAATTTAAAAGGCATGGAGTGTTGCTCAGTGCAAAGACCCTGGGTTCAATCCCTGATACCCAACCCCAGAGGTGAAAATTCATGCCCACACAAAAAGCTGCACATGAATATTTATACCAGCTCTATTAATAATTACTAAAAGTTCTATGGAGCTAAGGTGAATACATAAACAGTGGCACGTCCACACGCTGGAATGTTACTTAGCACTAAAAAGAAATAAGCCATTAAGTCATAGAGGGGACAAGTGCAAGTGAAAGAAGCAATTCTGAAAATATCATTCTAAGTACATGAAAACCTGAAAAAGGCAAAACTATGGAGACAGTAAAAATTAACAGAAAAATACAGAATACCAACAAAAATTTGTTAGTTTTTAATTTGCTTCATGTTTAAATATGCCATGTCACATCACAAAATAAGTACACTTAATTTTAACAAGTATGTAACACTTTAAGATTTCCAAAGGTAGGAAAAGGTATTTTATTTCCGTCGGGGCTATACGCTTAAATTAGCAAGAAAATATTTAGCAGTCATATTAATTGCTAACCTTATCTACTCTATGATATAATTTGAAATAATTAAATTTATTCTACTCTTTGCTTTTATACCACTAAATGTAAGTAATCAGACATGGTAACTATAGTGTCTTAAGTCTCAAGATTTAAGGCATTTAATAGTAATTTCTGTGTGTTTCCCCTACAACATCTTTCTAGGGCATATGGTTAAGCAGCTGTTGTTACTCTTAGGGCTGTTGCTAGGGAACAAAATATCAGGGTGATTTCCCTAGGCTCTGGACTTTAATGAGGATCAGTAATTGAGCACTGGATAATGTGATTCAGAAAGCATCCGGCAGGTATAAAAAGGTAAAGCCAGCAGCTGTTTCTTAAAAAAAAGAAAAGTGATGGGGAAGATGGAAGGTTGAGGCCCATGAAGAAAACTGCAAGATTAAACCTCACTTTGTTCAGTTCACCGTAAAGCAATACTGCAACCGGCCCATTTGGGACTTCCTTTTCCTTTTAAAGAAGTTCTTGATACTAGGTATGATCACAGTATGATAAACTTCTCTAAGGAAGATTAATGTCCTAAGTTTAGCACTTGGAGAAAGCAAAGGCCATCTATAGTGTTCCATTTGTCCTGCCAGTCTTTTGCAGGGTATTCAGGATGGGGAATATGGTAACTCAGAAAAGTGATGAAAACTTTCAAAAAGACATGACATGCACGGCACACATTGCGAAGTAAGTCACAGAAGGAGCAAAGTGTGGTGGGCTTTGAAGTCAGATTTCAGTCTGAAGGCTGAGTCTATTCGCTATTATTTATAGGGCTTTGGGGAAATTACTTGACTCCTTACTTTAAGCTTTAGCTTTTTCATATGTAATACAGAAAATTAACAATAATAATGGTTACTGCTCACAAGTTGTTTTATTAAATGAGACAATGCATATAAAGTTCATTTCATTGCTCATAATTAATACATGTCAGATATTACTTTGTTTTCACAAATCTTTTCATCAAGTGAAAATGATTAGTAGTGTAATAAAATCTGTTTTAATAATACTTTAAGAATCCTGATGTTCTGCTCACTAAAGAAATGCATTTGCTCATGTTGGTCAGGCTTGTACACAAAATAGTTCAATTCCTTTACTTATCTCATATGCAACCCATGGTTATTTATTTAGTTTTTAGTAAATGTAAATTCATATCAGCAACCAGTCCTCTTCCCCCCCAGAATCCCTAAAAAGTAAACATGCTTGTTATCTTCCACAAAAAAATTTTAAAACGCAATGCATCTGATAATAATGCCAACAGCAATGTCATGAAACAGGTCCTCTACTAATCTGCCAACATGGGGCTCTAAGAGATGTAAAACAGAATGTAGTTTCATAATGAATTCTTGCATGATTTCAAATTCTTAAAAATAAGTGTTTGGATTGAACCAATCAAAACTTGATTTCAAGGTACAATGTTTTCAGATTTGTCTTACAGTTTTAATAAAATCTTGGCATAAATATTTTTAACGCTGAGACAACATAGTATAGTATTGCCACTTATAGCAAAAAAGCTGCATATTATAATCACTGAATATACAAAGAATTTCAATTTAAAAAACACAAAATAGTTTCTGTACTTGAAATGCTTAGTTTTGGTGTAAGTATGGATTTTTCATGATAAAATTACTGCTGATAATTTATTTGTTCACATAAAATAGACTGAAGAAATGGATATTTCTTTCTTAGAAAAAATAATCCTTATAGCAGGATTATTAGTCTATTTCATGTACAAATAAAAGAAATACAGCTGTTTGTTATTCGTAGTAGTTATGATCTATAAATTTGCTACCAACACTGCTTAGTAAATATGTGTCATAGCTGCTATGGAAAATACAAGCTCCTGAATATGATCCAAGAATGTCTATGTTCCTAGAATTATCATACATGGCTATCAATTAATCCTGGCAATCACAGAAATAAACTAATGCTGCAAGTGCCTTGGGCTATTGTAAACTGTTTTGGTTTAGTAGTAAACTCCTCATGTTCAGTTCTGCACTGCCATAAATACACTCAGGACGTGCACTAGTGGACAGGAGACTCCGAAGCCTTATGCTGACGGCTATGGTAACAAAACTGAACACCTTTGAAAACTTAGGTGGAATGTGTCATGTGCACTGAACAGCAGCTATTTTATTACATTGATCTCATACACAACAATTCGATATTGTGGGTTTACTTATTATTTGTCTTACATTTAAACTTAACTTTGTTATTAAAATACT